GCAAGTGGTGGATCCGTGAAAATACACTCCAAGCCTCTGGAAGGATCATATTCTGATAAAGTTTCGGCAACTGGCCCGTCGGGGAATTCTGGAAGTAACACTCGGAATGCCCAGCCAAACCAGAACCACCACGCTGACTCAGCTGTACAGGCGAGGCCTTCTGGACTTCCAAGCAACAAAATGCTTCCAAAAGCATTTGAAAATATTATTGTGCATCTGCAGAGTATATTCCCAAACTATAGCAGGTATTTGTTTTAATGAGTGTAATGTTGAGTAACAGAAGTTCTGAACATCTAGGGATAATATGCAAAAAGAATGGATTCCTTAGTAGATGGTTTCTGTTTCACAAGACCAGTAACAGCAGTAGTTCCTCTCCCTCCCCTCCCGTTCAGTGAGACACTCCCCAACAGCCAAGTGGTGTTGGCTTGTGTGTTTACAAGTATTATTTTACTGTTTCAATTTCTTTACGATTAAGGTAGAGCCTAGTTAGAGAGAGGTACTAGAAGCAGGTACTTGCCCCTGTTCACGTGAGAAGTTAGTGGCTTTTAAAGGTTCTACTGCCGTGAAGCAACCGTGGAAGCTACAAGTCTTCTCCAGTGCTGTGACTGCGCTGGTAACAGCCTCAGTGCTGCCGGTCAGTAACTATGTCGTCTTTTTTATCCCTTCAGTTCAGACTTTACCAGCTTCATAAAAGACGTACAAAGAAGAAATGGGAATACATTGGCTGGTTTGAGCTTCGATGAAATTCTAAGCAGAGTGACAGAACTCATTCTGGACCAGCAAAGTAAGGTACGCGGGCGCAGGGAGTTGCTGCCTTTTCTCTTGTGCATCTCTGACAGAGGAAACTGCCGCGCTGGCCAGAAAAGAGCGCAAGCTTCCTTCCCTTTGCTGTCCAGCTCTGAAATAGGACCTCGCTCCAAATTCTTTTCCAATACCTGTCTAGGCACCAGCGTCAACGGGGAGACCCGTGGCCTCAGCATCCTCTGCTTTGCCGGCACAGACTGGAACTCGGAGTCGGGAAGTACCTGCAGAAGAAAATGTACCCAGCCCACCCAAGGCGAGACCCCCACATTCAAACGCCTCGAGCAAAAGTCCATCTCGGCCAAATCTTCAGCCCTGGGGAAACATTGGATCAACACCTAAATCTAAATGGAAAAAAGTAGACTATACGGTAAGTTCTTCGCTGTTTAGGTGAGCGTGAGGTGATTGCCATGTGCTTTGTATAAGACATGAAATAATCAAAGTATTGCTGGAAAAAGTAATTGACTTGTACACAAAGTGAACAAAAGCTTAAATATATTTGCTTAAAATTAATAACATCATTCACTTACCAGGACTTGCTGACTGTTGCTAGCTTTCACATAACTTAATGTTTTATCTGTAGGCCTCCAGTGATGATCCCTGCACAATATGTCATGACGAGCTAAGCAGAGACTCATGTAAACTAGATTGTGGGCATCATTTTCACAGAGAAGTAAGGATCTTTGTTCTTACCAATGAGATACAAATGTTTACAAACTCTGTTCAGTTATGCCGTTGCTGCACGTTCTAAAAGCAGCATCCCCCCTTTAGCACTTAAAGAACAGTGCACGCTTTTCTTTTACATACTTTGTCCACCAAGACTCACTCTATATATGGTCTGACCGTGTCAGAAAGTTTCCAGTTTTAAACTTTTAACTAAAATGCTAATTCACTGGAGTGAATTTAAGCCTGTTCCTCAGACAATAAATTTGCTAGTCAAGTCCCAGATTTGTTTGCAGCATACTTACAGAGTGGGCCATCACTATAAACCCTGCATTTCCCACCGGAGAGCAGCTGCACGTATAACCTCACACGGTGAGAAAGTCAGGATTATGTTAGAACAACCTGATATTTCTGTCCATGACTCTTTCCCATTACCTTACTCGTTTGCTGCCGATTTGTTATTGCAGAATAGGTGCAAAGTTAAATTGATGGGCACAGTGTCAGAACTGGAGAACAGTTTTCTAATTTCAGTACTATTCAGCGTACTGCTGCAAATTCCAGTTACATAGAACATGTTGGAAAAGTCCTTACCTGTTAGTGACAATTACTGACATACTTAAGCCGAACTCTACACCAGATGTTGCTTCCTCACCCTCTTCCTCTTCTTGCAGTGCATCAGAACATGGCTTAAGCAACACTCAAGCACCTGCCCCATCTGCCGCGGTCACGCTCTGTTACCTGAAGACTTTCCCGAGCTCCCTGCACGGAACAAATACACCTAAACCTCTTTTTTAATTGAACACGTTGTAGTAAGAATCGAAGTAGCTGCAGAATAACCACCGTGATAAGGAAAAGAAACACGATGCCTAGAAAGAAACAGAACCCTGGTTTTATGGAAGGCGGTAGTAGAACTCAGACTGATTCAGTATTTAACGTGCGGCATTGAGCTGTGAGACGCCGGTACTGCCCCGGCCCCTGCAGAACCAGGTCAGTGTTCTCCCCGATCCAGCACTTGCCCTGGTCGCTGCCTGCACATGTGAAGCCCAGGTGGTTCAGAGGCGAGCAGCAAACAAACCCGGTAGGGCTTTTTGGCCAAGGAATATTAAAACTATTCTGTCTACTCTTGCCAAAGGATGGTGCCTCATTCTTGTGAAGAGGGGGCTTTTCTTCAGAGCTTCCACCACACTGAAAATAAATTCTAATATCAAAAGAGTAGGTGACCTGAATTGACAGACTAGCAGAATTTGGAACAGCCAAGATACTACCTTCCCCTGGCATAAATTGTAATTGTTTAACTGCAGGATTCAAATCAGGCTTGTTGTGATCCTTACGAATGCTGTTCATGTAATTGCAGCTCCTTGCTTTGCATAAATCCGTAGTTAATACTTCAAATGGTTTAAATAATGAATTTTAGTAGTATTTTGAAGCAAGAAGTATTAAGTATTCCTGTGATTGATTCTGTTTCAGTATTGAGTTGGAATACTGTGGCTCAATTCTTTAATCTTGAAGTATGGTTTGAATTTCCCTCATCATTAAAGAGCAGATTTGTTTACATCAGAATTACAGGATTTTTATTTTTGACAAAGCAACACTGCACCTGTACTCTCCGCATGAACGTTCACCAGCAGTGTGAGGTACAGAATACAAACAGCTGAAAGAATAGTTATCCTACTGCTTCAGATGGCTGAGCTTGCCTCAGCACCTTCAGTGCTGTAAAACGTCTCCGAAATAGGCAGAGACCAGGACGAGAGACTGCACAGCTTAACCACTCTGAAAAGGGTGTGACTTGTTTGGATACAAGCAGGATGAAATTGATTGTATAAGATTAAGGTATTAATTCCAGGGCTCATTTCTTCCCTCCTGTGAGTATCTATCCTCCAGGTAAAGTTTTAAGCTATGCTGTGATTAATAATCAGTATATGAATTGGCACTCAGATCCAAAATAAAATAGCTGCTGTGTTCTTCTTGTGTAACGTTTTTGCTGAGACTGAGTTAGGGGTGAGTGATCCGCTCTGTGCCAGGGAGCCAAGTTGTGGCACCTGCCTCCTTTTCCTCTTCCCTTACTGTCCGGGCTGGGGGCTGTGTGTACATCATCCCCTTAGCTTTGCACAGAAGCGCCCTCGGGCCCCTCCTCCGCCGCAGGGGTACCCTGGACTGGCTAAAGCCGGGGTGCAGCAGCTGCCCCTGCCCTGGGGGATGGTGTTCTCCCAGGGGAGCAGGGGCCCACTCGGAGCGTGGAGCCAACACGGACTTGCACTTGCTCGGTAGCGGCCGCTGATTTTTTCCTGCACCCGCAGCACGGATGCAAGAAGGTTTTTGACCTACGTTCCTTTTCTCTTCCCCGACTGCCATAAGCTGGACGGCTCCTGGTGCTCTCCAGTGGCCGTTCCCTCCCACCCCTCCGAAGGAAGCGTCCGAGCAGGCACGGAGGCCCAGCCCTCTTTCCATGTCGCTTCTGACACCGGGAGGCAATAGCGCTGCTGAGCAGGAGGTGGCACTCTTACCGCAGCGGGAAGGCTGGAAAGAGGGGCTTTCCTTTTCTAAATAAGATCCTATACGATTTCCTGAGCTTGGAGAAGTGTTAAGTTCTAGTCAATAGCTTGCTTCCCCGCCCCCCCACCCCCAGAAGGCTTGCTTTTTTTCCCCCCACACCAAAATAAAAATTTCAGATGTTTATTCCCAAAATACAGATGATACAGAACCAGAGCCAAACCTAGAATTAAATTTTCTTGCTTGGCAATGCTGCTGGATAGAGCTACAGCAAATTATTTTTGGCAGTCTTCTTAATTTTGTCTTTTCAGGTTGTCATCTTATACCTTATATACTTAGCCTGCCTCCACCCCCCATAATAGTATATGGAAAATTCACAACTAGAATGAAAGTGAGGCTGTTCTGTTAACTTAAAACATTATCAAGATCTACAACCTGTTTGTGTTAGGGTTACTTCTTGCTGAAAGAGTTTTCCTATGTAATTCCTTCAAACACTTCAATGTATTTAACTTACTCCTCTCCTGGCATGTTTCTACCTTAACTTGAACAACTGACAGTATTAACCTCACCTCATTAGAGCAATGGCCTCCTGTGGAGTGGTTATGCATATAATGACAAGGCCTGTCCTAAAGCCATGAGGTGCCACAAGGCAGAAGTTTTTAAGGCAGCGGCAGGTCTGCCCCAAGGCTGTGCTACATGACACATTTTTTTCCCCACATCAAAACTGAGCTGTAGAAGTCTTAGGAAAGAGAAGATGCTATACTGCAAACAGTATACTCTCAAACTAAGAGCTTTTGACTGATCTTTTTCAGCGCTATTTTACACAAATTGCAAAGATAATATAAGGGCTTTTTTTTTTCCTAATTCAGGGAAGAGCTCAGAGAAAAAACCACACACAAAACGACTTCAGGTATGAGCATTTCTCCATGACGGATTCTTAGTCCCAATTTGGCCAAAATACACCTGGTGTTATTTCACATCATTATTCATTTCACATCACTTATTTCACATCCATCTTGCACTATTCATCCCACATCACCACCTTGCACTGTTGTAGCACTATTTATTATACCTTCAAAGACACTATTTACTATTATATTACAGGTCACATACCTCCCTCCAGTATATATACACCATGTATAACAGGACATACTAGGTTTAAGTGGTCTTTAAAGGACTTTGGAACGATTATTACAAAAGTCAGTAAGGAGAGAAACTATAAAAATACACAGACTCATTCCTTCAGGGTTTGTCTGAGAAAAATTGGGACAAACACGGTTGTTGAAGTCAGAAAGATACCCGACAAGGCTGCCTGGATAGATACATCCATGTAGGCTATCACAGAGCAGAACTGAAAGCACAAGAAGTGATGCGGTTTTGGTTAAAGACAAAAAGAGACGGATAAAATTTCACTTTGAAGAATTTTGTCCTTTTTAAGTAAATCCTGAAGTGATTCTCCTCTGGCTATTTACATCCTGCAGAGCTTCAGCGGGAAGTTCTCTGTGATGAGATGATCATCGTGCAGAAGGACCACAATATTAACTTCAAACTCTGGAAGAAGGGGAGAAAAAAATAAAATAAAATAGAGAGTTCCACACAGCTCCGAACTGTAGCAGCAGGGTGAGGGGCAGGCAGTTCCTGCGCTCAGCCACAGCCCTTCTCAGGGCTCTTCCAAGCCATTCCAATCCCGTGGGTTTCCCTGTGGCAGGGTTGGACACGGTACTCCAGGCAGAACCTCAGCCCAGGCATCCCCGACCCCGGGCCCTTCCTAGAGAACCCTGGCTCCTTCTCATCTCTGGGATTCCTCTGGATTCATTTCCCTGTCACGGCAGCACTGTGACCTACAGTCTTCTAGACAGGCAGAGGTCAGACGTCTGAGATGCAAATGTTTTGGGAAAGATGCCTCACCCCAGTATGTGGTGTTTAGAAGCGTGTAAGTGGGGGACCAGACTCCTCCCCTGCTGCCAGCGTGTGACACAGCCTCCGAAGCCTGCATTATGTAAGGCTTTATGAAATTAAATATACAATATACTTGCAAACTATGAAAAACAATTTTCAAAATAAAATCTACTCTTTAGATACTATATTGTGTTGTTCAAAACCAAAACCAGTATCAGATGTATAATCAATCCTAAACAGAGTGAGGATACAAAGTCAGGTGCAATTAAGAAACGAAGGGAACCAGAGATCAAGGTAAACTGGAAATAACCATCCTTTTTTAGAATCTTCAGAACCGTATTAACACTGTTCTTGTAAATAAAAGTGGATACTACACTAACAGTAGCAGTTTGTCACTGTAAATTACTATCCAATTGCTAGAAATGGCAAAAAGTGGAGAAGAATAGTATTTTGGGGAAAATCACTGTAGACATCAGGTACAAAAATGCTCTTGGGAAAAGAGATGAACAGGTAGGCAAAGCTGAAAAACTCATGGTGCACACTTGTCCAAGATACACGGGAGAAAAGTAGAAGAGGCTTCAGTTGGGAAGGATCCTAAAGGAAGGTCCTAAAGGGACTTGAAGCTTCGATCTGATACAATAAATTAAAAAAAAAAAAGCCAACAGATTCCAGCAGGATGAAGGGAAGAAAAACAGGCTAGCAAAGAATTTTCGCAGTAATTATTTGAACAAGTGAGAAAAATCCTAAATTTCAGGTGTAAAGGAAAATGTTGGATTTTGACAACAATAAGCAGGAAGAAGCATCTCGTGTAGATCAAGAAACACAGTCGGATACAGCCCAACCTTCTACTTCTGAGTCTGCAGCAGAAGAATGGGAAACAAAAAGGAGAGGGAAGGGAAAGAGGGGTTCTTGCTGGTGATGAAGGGAAGTATCTTGGAATTTTGTTCTTGGACTATTACCCAAGTGTTTAATTATATGTAATTTTTTGGCAGAAAAGAAAAAAAAAAATCACCTGCCATTACACTGCTTCTCCTGTCCTGTTACCATGTAATTCTGTCAGCCAGAAGTAGCTTAGTAGTTGCACAACTGCTTTTACTTAGAAGTATCGGGGCTGTATTTTCTCTCTCCATATGAAATACAGCAGACTGCAATCCTGTTCAGGAAACCTCTGCAGGGAAACAGATGGATGTCCTTCGTTCTTCTCACAGTGCTGACAGCGATTTATCCCCTCACCCGCCAGAAGCTAAACCGAAACTAGAAACTTATGTCAGATGAAAGACGCCAGCGCAGCACACAGTCCCACGCACTTACCAACTTTGAAGTTTGTTGTTTCCAGGGTCGGGCAGGTGAACAACCTGGGAAACACCATGTATATAGGAACTGGCAGGCCCCTGCAGACATCCCCATCGGCAATCTGAATATTCTGTATCTCAGTGGCATCTCTGGCGTAACCTTCCGCACACCCTGGTGAAAGTGAGAAATTCAGAGGGAGAGGAGGGGAAAGAAAAGAGAGAAGGCAGTGGCCAAAATTTAAACTGAAGATATGCTGAGGCTGGGGAGGAGGTATGTGTGGGCAAAACATTTTGACCTTTGACCTGCAAGTCTTCACACTGGCACTCGAGTTCAGGATCACAGAGGTTATTTAAATAAATGTCTGGACTGTTCCACCTGAAGTGCAAAATAATTTTTTGCAAGTCTATTTAAGCGTACGGCTTTTGACAAGCTTTCAGAACTAAGCTAAAAGAGTGCAAGTGGTAATTACTGCAACCCATACTCATTCTGTTTACAGATACACTTACCACAGGTTTCCACACGCACTAACTGCAGCTCAATACTTTTGACTGCAGCCTCTGCATTCTCTACTACCAGCTCCCCTGTTAGTGGCTGTGTAATGATGCAGTTTGTAGAGCTGAGATGACCTCTGATGAGAAATTTTGGAAGTGAAGCTCTCTGAAAGGATTGGGAAAAAAAAAAAACAAAAACAAAAACACAACTGTAAGACCAGCCTAAGAAAAAAGTACTTTACAGAAAGACCGTTACACTAAAAGTATAGAAGAAGTCTCAAAAATGTGGAAAGTTAAGAACTCAAAAGTTCTGAAATGCCTCAAGTAACTTAAACAATACAGCTCTTTAAATACGCATCCTTATGCAGATGCATTAAGGTATCTCTTACTACCCTCCCCACTGACATGCATCCTCCCTAGCCATTCCATCCACAGGAGCTTTTCTCCTGGGATGAACTGGCAAAACTTGGCTATTACAGTTAATCCAGAAGTTGGGAACTACATGGTGAAGGAGGTAGGCTAGCAGGATGGTCGAGTTAAATCAGTTTCTGGTGCTCTAGAGAACTGCATTCTGGTCCCGTTTCGTTATGGATTACAACATAATTTACTGATTTTCCCACCTTTTAAAATTTCTCTCATGGCTGCTATTGGGAGGGAAGGCAGGCATTTAAAAATCTTCGTTTAATGCAAGGTATAGCATACTGCTTATGTACCAAGACACCAATTAAGGACAATTAATCAAGAGCTTAATTTGAATACAGGATCACACTTTTAAAATTTCCTTAACAGCAAGTGTGTTTCCTACTTTTTAAGGAAGGAGTAGTAAGAATAGCTGATCAAGGATGACAGTCTATAAATCAGTTTCCATAAAAGACCGGGGTTTTGCTCCCCCCTGCCCTCCCCTTTTTCGGGCCAGCCGGCATCACAGACACTCTCTGCCAGCAGAGAAACTCATATGCCAGAAGCTCCAGTTACATTTCAAGTTCTGGCAGGAGGCATACTGAAAGAGTCAAGATTTCTACCCACATCTTCAGCTCCTATCTTCACCAAGCTTTTTCAAACTCTTTGAGCATCCTGCTCTAACCTTCCTCTTCTTTGCAGGCCTTATTCTCCTCTCCCTCCCTAATTTTTTGCTATTGACATCTTTGATATTAGCCCCTGCCTTCCAACCATCTGTTCACACTTGCTTGTGGTGTCTGATTTCCTTGCCCATGTAACTGATTTTCGCTTCTTCCAAACCAAATCTTGTTGCAAACTTTTTTTCTCTCAGCCTGTTTTGCTTCTTAGTCCTGGCTGCCAGTAGCAATGGCAGAAAAGTTTTCCTCAGCTGTTGTTTAGACTGTTTCACTCAGACACTCAACACCTCTGCAGAATTTAACTGTCTCACTCAAGACAAATCTTTGGGGGAAATAAAAAGGGAGGAATTTTCATGTGTTTAGTAAACATGACCTCACTTGGGTATTTTCTCCTAACTTAAATAACGGAAGTTACATCTCTGACAAAGCCACCCTATGAAATACTGAGTCCTAATAATGTATTAGTAAAATGCTTTTTTACTGTATGATCCCTCGCAGGTTCTTCTCATCACCACTATTAGTAAACAGAGTTGCTTCCCTGCTTCACAGGGACATCATACACCTATCCCATGAAGTAGAGTGATCAGGAACCTAAGAGACAGATAAAAGGAACTTGTAGAACAAGAACGAGGCCATTTTCCTCAATCCTAGTCTACAAAGCTTGTTTTTTTAAAGGTTGAGCCTTACTACTCTTACCAGTACTCTTCATATTTTAATCCTAGCTAGGTCTTCTCTCAAAGGACCTGTCATTTACACTCTATTTCATAATCCCCCCCCAAATGAGAATCAAGAACATACAAGCAAATCTATCCTGGTTTTTCTATCTAATCTCTTTGTGCTTTGCATGGCTACTACAAACCTCCTAATCAGTTTTCTAGTAGTCTACCAGAAATTACAGCTCAGTCGGAATCTCCAAGCAAGCAGAGAATTGAAAACTCAGTATATTTTAAATATACTAAAATAGTGACTTTTTCTACCTGTCTGCCTGGTAGTCACTTCAAACCCATACATTTTTCTGTGACAGGGAGAGGAATAAACAAAAAAAAAAAAAACAAACCAAAACTAAACAAACAAACAAACAAACAAAAAAAAAAACACACACCACAAAACAAAACCACAAACACAACACAAAAGGCCACTGCTTGTGCAACCATATACATTCAATACTATTCTTTAGACAGCTCCACAATTAAAATCACAAGATCTGCTGGATCAGAGATCTCAGAAGTTTTAGAACCTACTTTTGTGGTTATGTACTTGAAATAGAGAAAGGAATAGGCTATGCTACTAAACTTAAGAAAGCTTTTCATGGACAGGACTTTCTCATGATGAATACCACCGAGTCTTTGCTAAGCCAATGAGCAGAGTATCAAGATACAGAAGAGGGAGAAGAAACAGAAAATAATTTATATGGAAACATGGTTCATAGAAAGACTGCTGAGAGCTTAGTATTTAGCAGTAGTCTCAAAAGTAATTTTACCACCAAGAATAGTTATTTTATCCCTATGTTTGGAAAAAAATATATGCTTTCGGTGTGCAGCAGTCTCCAGAGACGTAAGAGGCTGCTGGACACAACCTGCTCCTCCTCTAACTCAGCTGGATTTAGAGTTCAGCCGTGCCAACTGGTTGGTTTTCTAGAATCACCCCCTCCGTGCTCAAGAAGGCCTATTCCAACATGCAGAAAGTGAAGCAAAGGTAAGAAGACACCTGCATGGATGAACAAGATGCTACTGATAAAATAATAAACAAGTAGTATTCAAAAGATGGAAGTAGGGTCAAGTGACTCAGGAGGAACATAAAAACACTACTGCAGTGTGCAGGAATGATTTTGGGAAAACCAAAGCCCACCCGGAGTTAAATCAAGCGACATGAAGGGCAACAAAAAGGGGTGTCTACGAGTCTACCAGCTGCAATAGGAAGAAGAAGGTAAATGCCAGCCTGCTACTGAATATGGCAGGGGACCTAGTGACAAGAGACATGAAAAAGATAGAGGTACTAAACATCATCTCTGCCTCGGACTTTACTGATAAGATTTGCCTTCAGGAATCTCAGGCCCCTGCAACCACAGGGAAAGTCTGGAAGAAGTAAGAGTTATCCTTGATAGAGGAGGAGCAAGTTAGAGAACATTTAAAAAGACAGGATGTACAGAAGTCCATAGGACCTGATGGGATGCACCCACTAGTGCTGAGCAAGCTGATGCACGTCACCATGAGGCCAATCTTGATTATCTTTGAAAGGCTGTCATGAACAAAAAGGTTCCTGAGGAATGGAAGAGAGTAAAGGTCACTCATCTTCAATTAGAAACATCCAAGGAACTATACACTCATCAGCCTTGCTTCAATCCCTGCGAAATTGACGGAGCAAATAACCCTGGAAACCATTTCCAAACATATAAAGGACAAGAAAGCGAGTGGAAGCAGTCAGTGTGGATTTATGAAAATGAGCCAACCTGATCTCCTTCTGTGCTGAAATGACTAGGTTGGTGGACAAGCAGAAGGCAGTGGATGCTGCTTATGTTGGCTTCAGCACTGGTTTCGATGCTGCTTCTCCTACCAACCTCACTGACAGACTGACAGAATGCAGACTGGATGTACAGATCAGACACTGAGGTGGACTGAGAATGGCCTGAACCCCTGGACTCGAAGGTGTGGGATCAGTAGCACAAAGCCCAGCCGAAGGCCAGTCACGAGTGGTGTACACCAGTGAGGGGTTAGTACTGGAGCCCATATTATTTCACATCTTCAGTGATGGCTTGGATGACGGGCAGAGTGCGTCCTCAGCAAGTCTGCAGGTAATACAAAACTGGGAGGTGTGGTTGGTGAACCAGATAGTTGCACTGCCCTTCCCAGGGACCTCAAAAGGCTGCACAAAGGGGCCTACAGCACCCTGAGCTCCATGAGTGTTGCCAACGAGTTGAGGGAAGTGATTCTCCCCATCAATTCAGCACTGGTGAGACAAAACTGGGGATTAGTGTGTCCAACTCAGGACTTCCTGGTACAAGAAACACAGACTTACTGGAACAAATCCAGCCTTTGCTGGATTTGGTCACAAAGATGGTAAGGAGCACATGACAAAAGAAGAGGCTGAGAGCTAACACTGTTCACCCTGAAGAACAGACAGCTCAGGAGGATCTTATCAATATGTATAAATACCTGATGGGAAAAAGTAAAGAGGATGGAGTCAGACTCCTCTTAGTGGCATCTAGTAAAAGGACAAGAGGCTATGGGAACAAATTAAAATAAAGGAAATTACTTGCAAATTTTTTTTTTTTTTTTTTAATCCTGTGAGGGTGGTCAAACAAGGTAACATTGCCAAGCGGTAGCAAGTCTCCATCCTTTGAGATCCTGAAAACTTGACTATACATGGCCCCAAGCAACCTAATCTAAATGACTTGGCTCTGAGCACGGGGGCTGCACTAACCAATCTCCAGAAGTCCCTTCCAACCACAGTGATTCTGTGAATATGTAGAGTAAGGTCAACAATAGCACAACAGAACTAAACAGCTGATTATGAGCTCTGTTTTGAGAAACAAGTGGAAGAGTAGGTCTAAATTCAGAAGTCTGGGACTAAGAGCAATGGAAGACAAACTGGGGACACAGAAGGGAGATGTAAAGCAGGAAAGTAGTCTTATTAAAAAAAAAGCACAAGTAGAAATTCAAAACACGGTTTCAGCAGACAAACAGAAACCAGTGTTCAGAAAGCTAAATGACCAAGAGAACTACTGCTGTTCATACAGGCTTCCCTAAGCCACATGGGGCTGTAAGAAAAGGCATAACCAAGGATCAAAATACACATTTTTAGAGGACCTTGGCTACACATTGTATAGAATGTTTTCCCTTGCTTCACTGTCATCTGTCACTCAGAAAAACTGTAAAAATGTTTAACTATTACTGAACAAAGTTCCACCTTACGCTAGTCACCATTATCCCAAGAGATCAGAGGCAGAATCACTTTATTGCTTACAAAAGTAAAAAAGGAGAATAGTGAAAAAGTTTTATTATCTGCGGGGCAGCATTTAATCATTCCTTTCCTGTTCTCACTCAAAATCACACAAGTGTCACAACTAAAATAAAATAGTAAGAAAACCCTTACCTCTTTAACGTTTTGCAAAGTTTCCGGAGTAATTGTGAAGTCTACTGGGCTTGGCATCAGTTTCCCCTTCTGTGACTACAAGTAATGAAAGAGTTAAACGGTAAACTATGATTTACCAAACACACACCAAAAATATTAAAGAAAGACAGCAAAGTCAAACAACCATTGGATGTGTTAGTTTTCAGGATTGTCTTCATACTGGAAGTATGCGTCTATGTAATAAAAAAAAAGAGATTTCCAGCCTTTGTCATTAAATAACATGATGATGTTGTCCAAATTCAAGGCAAAATGCATCACAAATCTGAACTGCAGAAACAGAACTGTGTCAATTTTTGGTTACTTTGTGTTTGTCATTGCAATAAACCACAATAAGCTCTCCATTTGTAAGTTTTTGGCATAAGCTCTGCCTACATTAAAAAAAAAAAAAAAGGAAAGCAAAAACATGTGGTTGACTACTCTAAAACGCCTAGAAAAGAAAAAACACACCACCTCTCTGAAGCATATGGTATGCTATAGAAAAAAGTTAAATTACACATTTCTGTATGTACAAGTAATTACATTTTATATGTCACTTGCAATGTTTCCTTTCATTATTAATACTTGGTAATTTTGGGAAGCGGAGAAAGGGAGAGATTACCAATTAACTTCCTCCACTGCTTCAAATATGTTCTATAAACTCTCCCTCCCTCTTGTTACCTCTGAGCACTCTGAACTCTTTCTGCTGCCCTTTCAGTAACAGCTCGGGTCTCCTAAGCCATCCTCATATTACTAGGAGATCCTCAGCTGACGGAATCTACTGTGTGGGCTTAGCATTCCAGCTTCCTTAACTGTAAAAGAAACAAAACTTGGTCCAGGTTAGCTTTCCACACCGGAGAAGCAATTTCAGGGGCATACTATTACAGCTCTTCAGTACCTATTTACACCGTTTACCAGAAAACCAAGAAGTTAAATCTTTCTGTAAGTGGCTGAATGGGCCTGGAGCTCTGCTGAGATGGCAGCCTGGACTTTGCATCACCAAGGCAAGCGTTGCTTATCATTCACCAACCTCTCTCTCCATCCTTATCTCAGTGAGGTACACTGTTTTTTCCCTACATATTTAGAGTAAGTGGCCAGTGCAGCATCAATAACGAGAGCCAACTGCAGGCAACTGGGAGTTGGCAGAGCACGTCACCACCAACGGGCTTCACTTGAACTCTTAGTTAGGATCTATCCTCACTACTTAAGAATTCAAAATAGCTTCTGCTGCCCAGCTGCAAGATGAAAGATAATAGCGAAAGATTGACTGTGTTTTCCCATAAATGACAAATTCTGGCAAAGAATAAGGTTAAGGGAAATGGTACATTGAGCAGTGACAGTGAGAATTATATGTTCAGTAAAACCTCATTAATTCACCCTGACTGAGAGATTCATGATTTACTGACTTGTGATCTTACAAGTGCTGTAGTGGGAACAAGAAATAAAACCAGGAAACTGCACAATATTTAATTTGTTCACTATTTTGACAAGCATGGCTTACTTATAATGTAATAACGGACCAATAACATGTAGCATAATATATTTTAGAAAATAATGAAATCTTACCAACAGGAAACTTCTTTCTACCAACTAGCTAAATCTTTAAAAAAGGTACTGTAGGACTTCAATGACATATTTCTGCCATTATTTGTAAGCAAGACAAAAAGAGTCTAACAATTTATTGTCATGTTAAAGGACTGATACAAACAGTGTGTTCTAGCCAGTTGTGGGTGGAAAGAGAGATACTTAATTAGGCCTGCACAGTCTGTACTGACATCAGATGCTCTGGACATGTGTACAAGTCAATATAAACTAAAAACCAATCTAATATAGGAACTTCAAACAACAAGCAGCAAAGCATTTCTTGTGATAGCCAAATCTCATCCCAAAATGGTATCTCCAGGGGACAAAGGTTGTCTCCATGTTGCTAACTGCAGGATGTGGATAGTTAACCTAGTTATCTTAGCATATTGCCAACCATGGTTTACTTAATGGCAAAGGTGAGTAAGCTAACGAACTTCTTATTTCCAACCTGATGCAGTCCCAGCTTTGATACTTTGAGTCACAGCTCTAATCATAATTAGTCAACTGACAAACAGAAATCAGATATTTTTTCTTCACCAGCTAACTCCCATTTCTAGGACAGGCATTGTGGGTGCCTGCAACCTTTGGCTAAGAAAAGCTCGGATAATCTGAAACAGTGTTTAGAAGAATACCATAATATTTATCTAACCACACCATTGTTTCAGAACTGAAAGGATGAATAAGAGAATAAACTCGATGCAGTGTAAAAACATCTTACAATCCAAATTCTCTCTGTACTATTTTTCTTTAAATGAAAAGAGAGATGTGTTATTCTAATCAGAGGCAACTGACACCCTAGCCCTTCTGGATGTTTGTTTTAAGGCTAGCTTCCTTCACTCATACATATCCCATGTGTCGCCATTACAAATTATATAGTTTTGCTTGGTTTTCTAACCCTACTGCCAAACTTCACATACAGTAAAAAAAAAAAAAAAAAAACAAAACACACACACACACACAAAAAAAACCCAAAACAAAACAAAAATCTCACTTTGTATAGTTAATACAAACCACACTTACCAGGGAGTGGACTATGAACTCACAAGTCTTAGTTAGGTCTTTTGCCAGCAGAGAACGTCGCATATCACACCGTAGGGTATACTGGCAAGAACAGGATGGCAGAGACAAAGAAGAGAGCCTCAGTTAAGATTTCCTCTAATTCTCTTAACTTTTCATCTTTGTATTGCATATGTGCAGAATGTTACTGTTATTAAAGTCATCATTTAAAACAGACTAGTAGGCAACGTACATACCAGCGACGGGGAGAACGGAAGAAGAGGTATACAGTGATCTTAGATGCTCCCAAATGAAAGCTGGTTTTTCTTTGTGTTTACAGTCCTAGTCATTTGAAAATGCTTTCCATATCTTCTGTGTTATGTAGCAACCTATGAGATTGAGGGACTAATTCACTGGCAGAGTGTAGTATTCTTGTATGGCTTCAGCACTCAAATTATATTTAGTTAAGAGTGATTACAGTACTCCTTTTCACTGTACTTTGGATAAGTGATTATCAATAAGATATACTCACAGCCCCTCTAATTTTAAATTTCTTGTAAGATTGAATTTAACAGTGGTAAGTTATACGCATATTTCATGGGGTATTATCTTTAACCATATAGCTGAACTTAAAAGCAGCAGCATGTAGTCAGGCAGCAGCATAAAGTCAGGCAACAAAGTTAATTTCACCGTTTGCTGTTCAAAAACTTGCTGCCAATTTCTACCCCCTTCTCCCCTAAGAAGGAGACACAAAACAGTATGACCTTGGTTATCACAGTAATCATATGCTTTACTATCTACAACATAGCCTTTCAATGTCCTAACAAGATAGGGAATTTGCTGGGGTAGGGTTTTTTTGTTGTGTTGCTTGTTCTGTTTTTAATTCCTTCTTTACAGACAAGGAATTTGCAAAAACAAGTGCACTCAAAGTAGGGACTCAGCTTCGTAGCTTCTAGTTCATAGTGTTTCTCTGCATGTAGGAGCAAGATCTGGGAGCATATCTCTTTCCCCATCACAGACTATGGCTTCCACTGAAGTTGATCGCTGTTGACCAAACCTTCCATCACTGCACTGTATTTCACCCAGACGAGGGAACACAGTGCAATGAGGCAGCAGGACCACACAGGCCTTGCAGTTTGGCCCAGAGCCTCCCCCATCAGTGTCTAATTAGAAGGTCTCTGCATGAGAGCAGAGACTTGAATCTCTATCCTGAGCACACAGCTAACATACTAATACTTAGATCAAGAAAGAGAGGCTTGCTTTTAAACTGCACAGGACTTGGACAGAAGTCTAGGAGGTGTTTCTTAAACAGCACCCCAGCACTACATCTTCCTCTTCAGGAGAGCAGGACTCTCAAAGTTTGGCTGAAATTTAATGATTAATCTTTTAATTACATTTCATCCCCGGCCCGTAAAGAGAAGCTACGTAGATGACAGAGGGAATGACAAAACAAAACAAATATTCACCATTAAAGTATAGCTTAAAACAACTGATATTGATCATAGGCAAGTTATCTAGATTATGGAAAGCAACTCAACCAGTTTTGCACCATTTTTGACATACCTACCACAAACAACAGATGTTACATTAGGAAGAAAGCCAAGAATGAAAAAAGATATCAGAAGTGCTTAAAAAACACCATCTGAATGTAGACAAAAACAATGGAATTTTTCTTTTAGTTACTTCTGATTGGCTAGTAGACGAAGGGGGTTTTTGTGGGTTTTTGGTCTGTTTGTTAGGGTTTTTTAAATCCCAGACTGTAATATAAGACTTACAGTTCAGCTAAATAGCTAACAGTTTTGTACTTTGTCATCAAACCCAATAGTCTCATCAGTGACCTACAAGAATGGGGAGGAGTTTTATAAGCCAGTGATTCATCATCAGCACTGGTCTGAAAATTTTTCCATTTAGTGGCTCCTTTGACTTTTTTCCTCAAAGAAAAAACCCCAAACAAACAAAAAAACCCCCACTCCTCAGTAGGAAAAAGCACTGTCTAACACAATATTTACTTTCAAGAGATGGCTGAAGAAAGACTTTCCCTCAAAAAAAAAAAAAAAAAACAAAAACCTAAAAAAAATGCAAAAAACCCCAAACAGAACCACCTATGGTAAAACAATTTTTAACCAAAAAATGTCAAATTTCAAAGCTATTTCCACAAGATTCTGTTACAAGCATGAAGTACATACAGATTTGGGCAGGAATTGTTACTTCTCATCTCCACAAGAAAGCAAACAATTCATGATTTTGAAGATGTTACAGGATCTCAACATTTTGGTTTGAGTCTTCATTATGAAATTACACAGACACATTTGTTTTGAACGAAAGGACACTGTGGGGCAGTCTGTTTTCATAAAGGGAATGGTTGTACTTGTCTACAAGATAAGGAAGGTTCAGCTATATATGTTACAGTAGTTCTGACAAAGTATTTCAGGCAAGACATCTTGTTACTGTTCTGTTTATGCCATCACTCTTTAAACGTTTACTCAATATGGAAGGCCTGAAACAATAAAATGGTAGAAAGATTCCTCAAGTCCGAGGATGCTTCTCACAAATGCATGTAAGAAAACAGACTCTGAATACTAGGGTAGCTTTGTTCCTGTAGAATTTATCCCTGTGCCTTAAAATGGATCTGCTAAGTCAGTACACTTAATATTTAAGTATTATTAGCAGTAATTGGTTGTCTGCTAGGCTTACAAAGTCTCACTGGTGCAAGGTTAGCAGTACACACACACTTGCATTTGGGTATGTACTACAGTATAGATTACCTACAAAATGGTAAACGGAACTTCTTTTACAACAAAAATCAGAACTAGATGAAAACATCACCATGTGAGGTAACAGTACAAGACTTAAGTGTGGCAAATACATTGTATCCTTTCTCAACCCAAAGACCCTCCTTCCAGTATGCTTTTAATTTTCTCCTCTACATCCCGTGTTACATCTGATCACATTTCCAGTAACTATTTCCAATTAAAAGTTTAAATTTGCTGGAAAAGAAAATGAAACCAGAGACCACAACAATTTTTTAAAAGCAACATTGTATTGATGGGATTCTGAGATGTCAGGATGGTTCCTTTGCCACATTTAAGAAGTGTTGCCACCTGTGGAAAGTGTTGACTCCTAGAAACTGGAACTGAAAAAGTAAACTAGAAACTACCTACAAACTAGTACTTAAAAGGTTAACATGTATCATGATCTTTAATCTTAAATTTTATCCAGAAAATAGAGTACACACCAGAAGAATGCTATATTAAATAAGGGAAGCTTAAAAGCTACTTACTTTCTGCTCATCCTTCACACTGAGAAAATAAAATGTATGAAAAGAAAACTTCATCTTCTGTTTCCATGGAATAAGAGATGCTTTAGAACACATTCTGCAGATTACAAAAATTCAGATTTTCTTTACAGAGATGACCGCCTTACCTGAATATTAACAAAGACACCATGGTATGTCTCATACAGAACTTTGTTCCCCTTCATATGCAATGGAAATTCAAATGGAATTTCTGTCTTGCCACTGGGAAGTTTCCCTGGTTTTACCATTTCAATAGTGCTGTTAATAATCTGAATAGGCTGCGAAGATAAACATGGAGAGGTTTAGGTTGAAGCAGAGTGACAGCGCTGTCATTTCAAGAACCAACAACATCCACTAAACTCGACTTCCTGAACTTGCAGGAACTCGGGTATTTCTTCACAACACACAACTCTCCAGTCTTACAGTGAAAAGAAACATTAAGAATGACTTCCTTAAGAAAACAATTTGTGATCTATTTTATGGCTGTATCACACTAATGACCAAACATACTTAAACAGCAGAGTCTCAAGAACTTTGGAAAGTGGTGTTCCATTTTCTAGATTATGATGCTTAATAGTAGCAGCAGGAATCAACAAGTATATGTGCCGGTTGAGCAGTTAACCATTCCCTCCTACCTCCTCCCCAGCTCCTTCCTACCTTCAAGATCTATATTTTGGCCTAGTCTCTCACTGGAACAATGGTTAACCAGGATTCAACTGAAGAAGCCTGCTTGAGGATTACAATTCTTTTCTCTCTGGAGTTTTATTATTATTTTCCCTCTACTAGACAGCAGTAAGAAAATCTATTGCTTCTACTTTTTTTTCTTGTTTTCAATAATTCATGAGCAGATTATTTAGCCCGTAAGCAAATTAACTATGATACAAATGAAGATCTCAAAAGGCCCTGCACCAAGGCTAGCTACCCTAACTTAAGCAAACTGTTTTACAAACGTAGCTATACTACCTCTAGATAGAGCCAGCCTGGCTTCAATCACTTCAGCCATGTTCACAAGGAGCCCGAGGTAACTTGCCCTGCTAGATTCCAAACGTGGAGAGCAGCACAGAGACCTGCCAGGAGCTCCACAGTCGAACAGTCTGTGCACAGCCTCACACTCCACAGAGGAATCTGTGTAGGTCCCTGAATCATGCCTAGTAACACACAACCTTAATGGCCTCTGCAGAAACTACTGTGATAGCGACTGATCTGGCACAAAAGTCCAATTAAACCCAATCACTTAAAAAATAATTTATCACTCAATTATTTTTCTTTCTTCAATGCATCATCCAGTAACCTTACTATTTATGTTATTGTATTTCAACCCTACAGAAAACTCTCCAATCAGTGCAAGTTCCTCCCCCAAAATGTCATCATATATCACTAGACAACGTTGAGCGTTTCTCTGCTTTCTATCATTTACATACCATGAAGTGCTATAACTACCCGAGAGCCATTAAGGAAAGATTAGAAAAAAAAGACAAAGGTTTTGTGCTAAAAATATTAACCTGCACAGGTCTTACCTTGACAGAGTTATAGAAAGCTTCGAACACACCCACACTTTTGGCACTAAGCTGCAGATTTACTGATCCTTCCATTGTTAATGAGATACCTTGGTGCTGGACTGTGTCCTTGCTTGTTATGACCACAACTCCAGAAAGAACTTCCTAATAGGAGAAAAAGACAACATGAAAGCATATGTTTAAATAAATTTCTTCTACAGCTGTTGCTCAGACAGCATGCTAACTGATTTTCAAACTCAAGAAAACTGTTCGCAGAGAACAGTTTAACCTTGTCAAAAAAGACAAATACTGATAATGAAAGCAACGTTAGGAAGAGACTTCTGTACTTCTAGTTTGTTTTCTTTAAAAATATTCTCCTCCTTCTTGCAGCAGCACTAATCTGAGCTTCAACTTCTTTCCAAAGTTTCAAGATCTTTCTCTCCAGGAAGATGAAAAATATCCTCATAAACAACCATCAGGTCAATTGGTAACAGACAAGTTCCATTTCACATGTTAGAATGAAATCCTGGGAGGAATTTTTCTACGAACAGTGGGACAGTCAGCCACAGGAGATGGAAGAGAAGGTATAACTGTAAAAGTGATGGCCAAGCTGAGGATAAGACTCACCTCAAGACTGGAGCGGAACAGATTTTAAACAAATAAATTGTTGTTCTGCTATATAAGCCAATTCCATGCTACATGAGATATAGTTTAAAAGTGTAGCTGAGCTGAAGGCACGAGTTACATGACTCAAGAGATGCTTTGCTTATCCCATTAAGAATGTTTTGTCTACAAAATTGTATTTGCACAAGAACACTGCATCTTGGAAGTATCAACTTAGAAGTTCTAACACTGAAAAAAAGATTAACTGCAGGAGAGCAACACACAGTTCATTTTACATACCCCACAGTTTAGCCTTCCCCTCTCCTAAAACAGAGAACCCACTCCAATCCAGAGTTCCATGTCAAACATTCATACACATGTGGAAATAGCAGCGAGCAATTTGAGAACCTGAAGAAAGTTTCTTTGGGCTAACCTTCTCTTCTGCTTGATGGTAACGCTCCCCGCACCTTCACCAGGCTTTCAAACTAGACACCAAACTACAGATCACTCCAACCAAAGGATGATGCAGACTGCCCAGTCTACACTCGACCAGTTAAAACCAGTCTAGTTATGTACATCTCTGACAAATGCTATCTGAATTTTGCCAGCCTTTTGTCTTTAGTAGTGGTACAGTATGACAATATAGAAAATGGGTCAGGCATTGTAAAACAGAACAGGACAGCAGAAGAACATCAAGCACCACAAAGAAGGCTGACACACTGCAAGTCTGAAAAGAGGACCTGCAGCAATTGGGAAATGCCAGGAACAGGAGGCACAAGCACAAAAGGACAGTGAAGAAAAGCTGACCTAAATACTGTACTGCTTTGCTAACAGGCTTTAATTAGTACCAGCAATTAGGTTATTGCTTTGAAAAATGAGTACAGCTGAACTATAAGAAGAAAGGACAATCCTGAACATATGAACTGCTTTAATAAATGAGAACAGTCTCTCACCACGCAGCAACAACCTAATGCAGAGGTATTGCCTACATACTTTCACACAATAAGGGTGTCTGTATTTGAGGCAGAAAGGAAAAGAATGACTTGAAGTTAAATATGAAATTTTTTTGGTAACATTCAGTGTCTCTTAAGAAATGAAAAAACACCTCAAAACCACTTTCTAGCAAAATCTTTTAAAGGTCACTAGTGGGAGAAAAGAGGGAAGTATCATGAAAAAGATGCTGTAATATTTACTTAAACTGTTCATATGCAATCGGATTATATTTCTGTTTGATGTGTGGAGGAAAGTCAGCTTTGTCTTTTCTGGAAAAGGGCTACTTCATCCTTTTTTGCATAAAACCGGGGTCCCTTCTAAATACAAAGCTGTCAGTATCCTTCTAAAGAGTACAAATCAAAGAACATAAGCTTACCAAGATGTTCAAATACTTATAGTTAGCACACTATTTACTTTTGCAAAGCATTTACAAACATGTACCATTTGAAAAAAGTAACATGGCATCACTTAATACTAAACTAGTACTGTTTTCAGTCCCTATCAAGAGCGGTTCATTTACCTTTAACACCACAAAACTAAAGGTGCAGAGAAAGTCACCACTGGGATTAATCCCCAGGTACTACAATGTAGTAACCTACAATCAGTTGCTCCGACTCACGTTTTACCTTCTCTCTTACTAGGAACCCCTTATGGCTTCACCATGTGATGACAAAACTGTAAGATGCAACTAAGCTAATATGGTTCTACACAGAATTATTCGTCTAAACACAAGTATCCATCCACAGGAAGGCCAGGATATTATTATGTGAAGCAGACAGAGATGCAAGGCATGTATGCTAAACTGCAAACAAAACGTTCTTGGGAGAATGATGTCAGTTCCTTACCATTTAGATATGCACATGAAACTGCCAGGAAGACTGACACTTCCAAAATTTCGGTCACTTCCAAGGTCACAACTAAGATGAACACCTGCTTCATCCGATCCAGCAGCACAATTCTCTAGTTGTGGAGCACAGTTACCCACGTGTGGCTGAGGACAATTTGGAACAACCTTTAATCAGTAGCATGAAATGGTGCAAAACACGCAGCAGAGAATCTTATCTCGAGAGTCCTAAGTCACATCTAGACTCCTGACTGAACTAGACAGTTATTCAGGATCCATAAACTTTATGTAAAGACTGGAAAGATCAACATACACAATACACTGTCCCATAAATTGTTGGGTAAATTACTTTTAAGTGATATACTAATTACAACCTGACTGTTTAGACTGCCACGTCTGTTTGCTACATTAAGGTGCTAGAAAAATAATTTTAGCTAGATATTATGTCTCCTCAGATTGTATCTAATCACTTAACAGCATCCCTTGTAAGTAAAACCGGCCTAATTTTTTTTTTTTCCCAAAGGCAATGTAGCTCTGAAAAAATAAGAAACCAACCAAAAGGCAGGTTTTCAAGACCACTTGAAATATGTCATCACACTTTTTGAGGTGTCAACAAGAACACAGGACATCATACCTAATGCCATACAGAAATGCCTAACATTTCTGTAGTTCCATTTGATATCCACTATACATCTATGGATTAAGTTTTTCATTATGTTGGTAGAATGGAAGTCCATGGTCAGTTGGTTAGCAACTAGATGCCTCAGGTTCCTTTTAGATTCCACTTTCCACATCACAGGCATTCACTTTTAGGACAAAAGGCAAACATTTCATAATTTGAAAATCCACATTAAGTTCACACAAGTCACATTTACTAAATATTCCTGACTATTTTCTTCCTCATCTATTCCTCTACACAAGCCACCTTTAAATCTTAACTATGTGTTCTTCTGATTATTTAGAACGAAACTGACCACATTCAATGGAAAAAGTCTGCTAGACCCAACTAACTAGTCATTAGATGCTTTAAAATCTCAACGCTCTGGTTTACTAATTAGTTTGCTTTTTTAGAAAAAGTGAAAGTCTTCCTTATGGGCAAATTATGACTTAGGTATATTTTGGGCTCACTTGTCATTAAAAGTTTGGGCTGACGCTAACTGTGGCACCTTTCCTTGATAATTAAAAGAATTCTAGTCTGAAAGGCCTGAAAAATGCATTGTACGATCTCAGACTGCCACAGTTACTCCAGTCATCCTGCTTAGATTTTCTAAACAAAATGCATCATTAGTCGTGCCTGTCCCCTCATCTTTCTAGCATTCCAGAGCTTATTAAATGAGCCTCAATGACTCAAGAATTCTCCATCCAATTAAAAAGTCTCCAACACACATGTTCTGTTTCTAGGAACTTAAACATAGTTTTGCTGCAATAAGCCTCATTTTTCTATTACAGGACATGCTATTAAAATCCATTTTATTGTCTTCCTGTTCTTAAATCCCCTGTCACTTTTCTTCTTTTTGAACAGTGCTATTATTCTTTTGGTCCAAGAAGTGGCAAACTTGTTTTTTACTCACAATTTAAAGTAATCTGTTTAAACCAGCTTTTCTCAAGTTGACGTCTGGACTAAATAAAGGTCTTTGTTTGCTTAGTTCCTCTGGTTTCTGATGATTATAACTAATGAACATAGAAATTGCTTACTGTTTATCACAGCACATTATTTTAACCAATTTCCTTTTCAAAAACAGGAACACAATCTCAGGCTTGCGTGATGCCTGTCTATTTTACAAATTTTGCGTCTAATTTCTCCCAATTAAAAGAAGAACAGTCAATGCAGAAGCAAAAAACAACTACAAAGAAAACAGTTGCCTACTCAACTACCTAGAACTAAAGAAAGTTTTTGGAAGTGACTTCCACTTGGCATAGGAGATTGCTTTGCAACAATGAAAAATGCTTCAATTCAGGTGGATTTAGTATAACCAAGGTCATTGTACCAGCATGAATAGTCCTCTGACCCAACCCAAGACAACAGGGAAAGGGAACAGTATTCGAAGGTTCTATTACATGGTATTTCAGCACCAAGGAGAAATTTTAAAGATCTTAGCCTGATGGGGAGAGCTTATAATGAAACATATGTATCATTCTGACCTTACAGAAAGTAAAAAATAAGTTATTCAGCCTTAATTTTCCTGGTCAGCTATTTGCTTTAGACACACCCTTATCTACTCCACTCACCAGCCTTCTCGTATGTACTTCCAACATTATTTTCCCCTAATAAGACTCAAATTCAGTTCTGTAATAACATTAAACATAAGTTGTTAACTTTCAGAGTTCTTCCCTATAAATTTACACAAAAAACTCCCACACCTTCAGGGCCTTATTCAGTATGGAATTTACCATTAAGAGATTTCTCAGAACAGTTACTTGTTAAATATGAGTCTCTCCTATAGCTGTTTCCTGTGATCCCTTCCCTCTTGGAGGGAATAAAGATGTACAGCAAATATACTCAACAGTTGTAAAGATGCTGGTTGACATACACACAAGATTGCGAGATGCTGATTGCTAAAAATTCATTAATATTTCACCCTGACCATGCACTCTGAAGGGGTACAAAACCAGAGCCTGCATGGAAGAATCAGCAGCCATTGCCATTACCAGGTCTTTGGTCTATTTATCACTTAAAATCACAGGCTGAGATCCTTGATCCTTTAGACTGTCTTCATCCACCCCACTTTATCTCGTTCATCCAATTTCCTGTTCTGTTGGAGTTGCCCTACTATGTCCAATCTCACTTCTATAGGGCATCCAGCACAAGACCATTCTGATACTGGTTGTTAAATATTCTGTTCTCTACTTGAGAACACATTCATAAGAAAAACAAAAGAGGATGTTCATGATTCAACAGACCAATTTTTAAATTACCATTATTATTATTATTTACTTTTTTTTTTTTGGAGTGTTGTGCCAACCAAACACTATCCATTTCCCTGATCTGTCTTACTGCATAGCCAATTCTCTCAGCACAAGAAAGGCAGAAGAAATTAAATGGTTAGGGAGGTGAGTGCCATTATGGAGTTATACTTAATAAATCATGGTCTTCGGCAAATTATGGCTTAGCACAGTAGTGTTTTAGCAATTTTTTGTGCTATTATAATGCAATACTCCTAATATAAAGACTCTTATACCAGTGCGTAATTTAGACATCACCTTCTTCCATATCCAAATGCAGCTTCATATAAGTTCAGAAAACAAAAGATCATGTCTAGCCACAGTATCCCTATTGACTTCAAATGAATAGCTAGATATACACATTGGGATGAACTATTGTCTTTATTAAAATAATCCCTTCATTTTCAAGCAGTATTGATGCAAGCATATTTTGGGATAAAAGCTGTCATAGACCAAAGGTATTATTAGCACAGATACTGTCACTGAAGTATACAACAAGCAGTAAATTTTTAAAGAAAAAAAAAAACAAAAAACCAAAAAAACAAAAACACCCACAAGAAACCAAACCAACCCAAAACCAAACCTGCATACTTTCCACACCAAATTAAAGAGAGATTTGCTATTCCTTTCTGTCCCTATGAAAATTCTATTAAAAATTCACATTGTACTGCTAGCGTACAGCTCACCATTGTGTTTTCATACCACTCAGCACTCCAAATTTCAGGCCTAGTTAATGAACTAAAATTATAAACCTTTTCACATGAAGTTAAAGTGGAAGCAAACAAGCAATACTGACAGATTTACTAACCGTAAATATCTTATTTAATTCCAGCTTAAAGACAGAAGAAATATCCCTTTCCTGTATTAAAAAAAAAAAAAAAAAACAACCAAACAAAAAAACCTACAAAAAACAGTGTAAGGTGATATAAAGCAAGCCAAGTGATGAAACTTAAAAAGGGCACAGCATTATGATACTGAAATAAATAACCAAGATCCTTCTAATAACATGCAAACGATGTGAAAGTGAGATACAGGAAGTAGTCTATGCCACTATGTCACCATACCTAAAGGGATGTGCTGTTTACAGACGGATAATTTAGCTTCATGAAAGTCATTCTCTAGATGATTTGACAGTTGCAGATCAGATGCTGCATAACCTTTGATTCAAATCAGTTTAAAGCAGTTTTCCAGAATGAAAAACATTCAATAAATGGAAACATGCTTTATACACTATAACAGCCAAGCTACTAAACTATGGGAAAGCTACATGTGAAAAGGATTTTTATAATACAAGCGTGTGTCTAGATAGCAATAAAAAAAAAAAAAGATCTGAAAACTTCTGCAATAGAATATTTCTAGAAAAACAGTGATAAAAATAAATCTTGAAAACATAAGCCAGGTGATTTTTTTTCCAATTGTGCTTGAAGTCTTCAACAATGAAAAAAGGTGCAGCGTTTTTTCAAGTAGGTGCAAAATGTGAAGTATGCACAATAATTTTATCACTACCAACAACTACATCAGTGAAAAAAGGTTAAGAAATCAGATTCCTGCCCAGGCGGCGGGGGTGGGGGGAGGAGGGGGTCGGAATAAGTAACCGTTCTTGCCTAAGCAACACCTTAACACTCTTGTGGAGCACAGAAACGGAACAAGCCTCTGTAGCAGCAACCGGCTGTACCTGCTTACTGTATCAAAGCATCAGTCCTGCTGTAGTACACAAGCATGAACAATGGAAGCGACACTGTCCTGTGGGTGAACACCAAACCGGCGTGTGTCTCCGGGGACCTCGCTCCTTCCCTCCCCTAGGGAGCCCCGCCACCCACCCCAGGAGCAGGTTAACGGCGCTCCGGCGGCACCGCCAAGCAGGCGAGGGCCGAGAAAAGCCCCCCAAAGCAGCCCTTCATCCCCAAAGCGTGCGGGGGCCGCGCACCGCTTCGTTATACCAGAGGCCAGCGGAAACCCGCGGCGTCCTCGGTAGGGACCTGAGGGGGAGAGCCGGGGCGGTGGGGGGAAGAACGCCCTGAGGGCGGGCGGAGGTGAGGCCCGCAAGCCCTGCCACGGCCCCGCCGCCGCCTCAACGAGCGGCGGGAGATGGCGAACCGCTCCACCATCCAAGTCAGAGCCCCACCGCCTCAGTCCCAGCAGAGAGCCGGGAGGCGGCGCCGGAGCGGGCAGAGCAGCCCGGCGGAAGGGCGGCCTCAAGCCACGCCGTGGGGGTCTCCGCGAGGCCGGGAGGCTGCACTCACCCCACAGCGGTACACCTTGTTGGCCCGCTTGATCTTGATGTCCAGCGCGGTGCCCATGATGGCGGCAGCAGCAGCGGGCGAGCGGGCCGGCGCGGTCACGTGGCGGCGTTGTCACGTGATCCGGCTCGCGAGGAGGCAGGAGCCCCACCCTCTCAGCCACCCGCTTCCGCTGGCGGGGGCGGGGCCTCTCCCGCGAGCATCCGGGTCTCCCGCAGTGGCGTCATTTCTCAGCCGGTGACACCGCTTCCCGGCCGGCTCCGCCCGCTTCCTGGTAGTCATAACAACGCGGGGGGGGGGGAGGGGGGGGGGTGTGACGGATGGGACACGGACACTTCCCGCTGGGCACGTCAGCGCCTTTCCGCTCTGGGGGGAGGGGGTGTGTGTAGCCGAGCAGCGGGTTTGGCGCAGCAACACGCCCTGCGCACTGCAGCCCCCGCCGTGCTGGGTGCGCGGGGGAAGGGGGGGGGGGGGAGGCGCCGCCGCCCGGCCCGATGGGACGTGTAGGCGCCGCCCGCGGGCAGCGGGAGCACGCGCGGGGGCGGCTCAGCCGCAACGGTCGAGCTCGGGGCGGGGCGCGGTCTCGCGCGTGCGCGGCGGTTCCCCGGCGCGGGGCGCGCGCGGGACCGTTGACGGCCGGGCGTGGTGCCCGTTGCCTGTGTGGGAGAGGCTGTCCGGCCAGGCGCGGTGTGAGGGTGGCGGCGCTGGTGGCGGGCTGCGGGACGGGCGGCCTCGCCGCCCCTGGGGCCCTGCCCTCGGCCCCGGCCTCCTGCTCTTGTGCCGCGCTAGAGTCTGGGGGGCGGGATGGCCACGCTAACTGTCGTGGTGACAATGGGAGCTAGGGAAGCGCTCCTCAGTCCTTACATGTATACTGCTCAGTACACTGGAGGGAGTTAGCCTTACACACGCCTTGCAGACATGAGAACCTATATATATGAGGGCTGAATTTTCTCTGTTCTAAATCGCACAGATGATTCAGCATATTGAACTTCAAAATACATTCCAGCCTCTGTTCGCAAAGTTCCCTGCAACTTGGTTGATAAATTCAAGAAGGCAATTCCTGGATACAGTGAGAAAAATCTGACTTAAAAACGTAAAGCAAAAAAATAGCCACGTCTGGAAGATGTTGCAGGTGAACAGCCAATGCGTGTGGTCATGCTTTAGTACCGAGAAATGCTTCAATCTCTTGCAGATGTGGACCACAGATAATGTAATTCCTGTGATTTCAGTGGGACCAGAAATTGTCCGCCAACAGTATCTAAAGTCCCAAAGGAAATCTATGAAGTGTGAATCTAATAAATGAATTTTAATGCTTTTCTAATGTCATTACTGTGTTAAAAAGTGAGGGCAGCCATTTCATTGAGATGTTACAAGCACAAGCCAGCTTCCAAGTCTAGCAACAGCATTCTTACCTCATTTTAAAAGGTGGGAGTTCTTTAATGCACTCTTAAACTACAGTTTAGTGGGGCATCGGGGGATTGTGATAGATTTCTGGTGTTAGAGTACTAACAATCAAAATAACAGAACCACTGAAAGCCTGAACAAAAAAAAATGGACGTGGACACAGCTATTGTAAGCTGGCTTTGCTGTAACAAAGCTGCATAAAGTGCACAGCTGAAGGGTAAAGGCAAATTTGTCTGTGAAATGCTGTTTTTCAAGAAGTCTTTTGATGGCCCAACATAGACATTAGGGGAACTGTCCAGTGGGGGCATTATGGATCTGTGAGGCCTGACTGCTAGAGCTGGTTCTCTTGACTGAAGCTTGAATTCTTCTAGCATTTTTATTACTGTTCTCCATGAAAACAGGTAGTGCAAATGCGTCTAGAAGAAATTAGAGAATGAATAAGCCTTTCAAGGACACTAAAGTCTTCTGTATTTTAACTGTATTGCCTAGTATAAATAACTGAGTTTTTTAAAGGTTGGTATTTAGAAGTAGCAATCTAAAGATACATTTGCTTAAGCTTCACACATGGGCTGTATTTATTTTTTTTTTTAAAGCTCTCAGTGGTGGGAGTACCATGCCCTAGCAACAGCATGCAGAGACCATTCCTGGGCGTGATGGGGCTCCAGAAGTAACAGGAGAGAAGCGCTCGCGGCTTACACAAAGTGGTCTGCCACATTCCAGGTCCTCTCAGCTACGTGAAGCCACGAAGGTGGTTCTGCCCTATTCCTCCTCACCCCTATACACGCTTCAGTACTGAAGACCACCTCATCACTGTGCCCCTGTCCTGCTTGAGTACTTACAGAAAGTTGGGCAAAAAACAGCATATGCTCTTGTAATGAGGAGCATCTTTTGTCTTGGGAAAAGAAGTGAGATATCGAAGTCATTCCACATTCTGCAGTGTTTGTTTCAGAGAAGAGAGAATGAAAGTGGTCTGTGTAAAGAGAAAGGAGCATTTAACTTTGATTAATGAATATTAGTATCGTGCCTCATATAGCTAGTTACTGTTATTAGTTACTGTAAGACAGGTAAAGAGGGAATTTTTTTCATTTTTATTTTTTTAGCCCAACAAAGGAGAACTCGAAAGAAAAAAATATTAGCCTAGACAGTATAGTAGCCTTCTGACTATGTAGATTTTTCTGCCATCACTTTCACAATCAAGTGTTTATCGTTCTTATGAAACTTTTTTAAAGGTACTTCAGTTACTCATTTCTAGGAACTGAAGTCTCATGTCCAGAAAAAGCTCCCGTTGGTACAAGCTGTAGCTGCCCATCTGCCTAGCAACACAGATCATCACAAACAAACAGCTCTGGAGCACCCTGGCTCCCCATGAGCACCGTGTCTAAATACGGTCTCTGTATTGACAGTTCAACACTCTTAGTACAGTTCTTTTGGCCAGCATTGGATGTCTCCTTCATCACCATGACCTCTGATGTGAGGTATGAAGGTATGTTCTGGTGGACTACTGAGGCTGCTGGTTAACAGAAAGAATTTGGCAGATGTGGATATCGGTGTTCCTAAATGCCTGGACCAAACTGATACTAGTTAGAGATGCCTTAGCCATATACCACAATTCAATTCAGCTTGCCAAAATCTGACACTGCTCTTTACTGTTACTTTCTTGTGATCGTCCTGTCCTCTTTTAACCACTTTTATCCCAAGATACAAAAAAAAAAAAAAAGGTTATCAGAGTCAAACCCAACTCTTTGAGGGGAATATCATGAGTCACCAAGTGATCACCTCTTGTATTATTTGTTTCTGTCATGTTACTCGTTACAGGCCTAACTAGAACCAGTCACAGGAACTGATTTCTTTTGAGTGATCCAAGCTACAAATTTTCTTTACTGAGTATCCACCTCATACTGAATTATTTTGGAAGATGTCAGCAAAATCAGTTAAACAGTTCAAGTTTCAGAGCAAAGGCTTGAATTTTGGCACTGGGTCCTCTCATTGTCAGGAGTGTGCTGCTTCTGTCCACTTGAAAAATCGACTCCAAATTTGGACAAATGGTGAGACTGAAAATTTTAGGCTTCGCTTGGCCAGCGGGAGGTCCTCCAGAAAATCGTAACTGTGGTTTGGTTGCCCCAGCCACACTCCAGGCCTGAAGTGCAGACACAGTGAAAAGGGGAAAGGGGGTAAGGGGCTTCTCAGGGGAATAGTGGTGCCCATAGACTGGAGGTGGGACGGCAGCTTGCCTGTCCCCACGCCTGAGCTGACACAGATCAGAACGCCGGGCTGAATCCTTCTGAGGGCCGGCCCAGGTGCACAGCGACAGCTCATATTGCTCTCGGGCAGTTTAAATAGCAGTGGTCTGTGATGGGGGTTGAAATATTCCCGACAGATTCCGTGTGTGTGTATCACTACTGTGCCACCTAGCAGAATTTGGGAGGTATTTTTGTTCCTTTCTTTCTTCATCTTTTAGGAATTTGGAGATGCTAGTTAGATTCCAGAGTTGAAGAATCACTTGTCAGGTAATTACAACGTTAGGGTTATTTTGCAACCCTCAGGTACTCACTCTCTCTGTATATGTATTCCAGTGACAAAATCATACTGAATATTTCCCTTATAGTAGTCCTTTTATTCCCTCTTTTTTTTGTGGGTTGGTTTGTTTGTTTGTTGGGGGGGGAGGGTTGGTTTTTTTTAACATAGCTTTATTTAGGAGATTTGAATTAATTTATGAAGGTAGTAGCTACTTTGGTATAATAGCTCTTTATTACTTAATTTATATAATTGTTATTGTTGTTGGTTCATGCAGTGCTGCATTCAGCAGCAAGAGTGAGATTAAATTAATATACTGTTTATTTCTGAATTTAGCAGAAAGAACTGGGCTAAAGGGGTACATAGTTTGCTTGCACTCGTCATGGATGTAATTCTACTCGTAGAGTTGACCAAACCCAAACTTGACTTTGAACTTCAGTCATTTTTCAGTTTTGCTGAGCCTGAACCAGAAATGAACTAGAACAACTCTGGTAACAGATGAACCTAAACTGAAACCAAATAGAAAAATAATATTAACTTCAGTAGAATGATACATACATTTGTTTTATGCATGTAACTCTTTTATGCATGATCTCTTTTGGGTCATTATTTTAACAAATATGTTTAAGTTGTTTAGAATAATCAGGCTTCTATATTTGCCTCAACCCAGAGCTGAAATGTGTGCATTAATTGGTACAGAATGATAGCATTCATAACTTGGAATAAGAAGAATTTAGTCTATGCAAATTGGGTAAACGTCCATAGGGGAGCTGAAACATACTTTTTTTCTGATTTTTTAATAGTTTTGAAATCTTTGCTTAGAGAACAGCGGTATACTTAAGGAATTCAGTGGGGGAAATTGTACAGGTAATACAAAGTCATGACAATAGAAATGTACTTGAAAGTTCACTACTTGCCATCAGAAGACTATGGAATACGTACTACTGAAAGAGATCAGAGATGATTAAGTCTAATAAAGCAATAATTTCAAATATTGTTCATGTATTGGACAATTTTTAGAGCACTGCATGGTTTATATAAGCATATGCTTGATAAACTGAAAATTGTTTTTCAGAGCACCTTAGTAGAAAGGCTGTTCTTTATTCCTAAGAACACAAAGGCATTAGCTGAAGAAATAACTGTAACTGATACGCTAAACACCGGGAAGCATATTGAAATTAATTATCTTTGGTGGAGGAATCATACTAAATCCCAGCACTGTAACTCGTAAGTGGTAGTGTTTCTGAATGCCTCAGAAATTAGGAAGATAATAAAGAAGAAATTAAAACCTCTGTGCCACATATAGGGGCCATATAGACATTAAATCTTATAAATGTTTTCTAAAACATTTCACATTGCACAGAAATTTCTTTTTCATGAAACTTGTCCTTTAAAGTATATCAGACTTAAAAGAACTATGCATGTGTATAAATGAGAAAAGCTTACAAAAGACAAGAAAATACACCTATTTGTTCAATGGTCAAGGTGGAAAAAGCTAGTCAAGATGAAACTAAGCTGAGGAGAAGTCCGTGCAGAAGGGCCAAAGAAAGCCAGATAGTATGTCATGTTAAAATTGAGAGGTACAATAAAAGTAAATTCTCAAAGTCCTGGAAAGAGGAGACATAAATAGAGTAGAAGAATGCAGATGTACATTCTTTGTCTATGTTAATTAGAGGGCCATATTCAGCCACTAGAAAATAAGAACAAGGACTAGATTCTGTGCTATTGAAACATACAGAGCTTTTTGTGTTAACGTCAGTGGTAGCATGATGAAGACTCCTCTAAAGAGGGTAAAACCCCTGCAAACTAATGCATCACAGGAAATATAGATATCTAATTTTATTTGCGCCAGGCAACAGACAAAGCCATTCTGGAAGCTGAGGTGTTGAAAAAGCAGGAAATGGTGATAGGAAGGCAAGAAACTAAATGCAGATAATCCCATAAACTAGATAATATTGGTCAAGGAATTTGGAAGGTATTTAAGAATTAACTAACTAATTTTCCAGCAAAAATGCACTATTTTTAAGGAAATTACTTTAGAGTAAATGTCATTAAATAGTTTAAAAAGGGCTTGAATTGACTGAAAATTTCACTAAGCTTTACTTTCCTCTCAAAAGAATTAGCAAATATGGAAATTAATGTTATGAAACATGTAGGGGGTGACAACCAACAGTGGATAAAACAAAACAAGTGATTTAGATATTAAAAAAAAATATTGAAAGAGTCTGTCAGGAAAAGAAAATAGTGACAGGCAAGGCCTTATCCTGAATAAAAAGTACTTTAGGATCAGATAAAAGCCTGCAGATATAAATGGTCATTCTTCCTTGTGCAAAAGGTTGGTACTAGGTGTTGTGAGATTTTGTATGATGATGTGCAAGTTGATATCTTTAAAAATATTGTGGAAAAATAAATTCTTAATGAAATAGTAAGATTTGCAGACTTCTCTGTGAGAACTGATTGATAAAAAGGAACTGTTTGGTAAGGTACCAGCCAGCCTATGGCATGATACAAGTACGTAGAACAAAACCCGTAGAAAGTTGCACATTCCTACTGAAACTCAAATATTCTACCAGCAGCAGTAAATTGAAGTAGGCAGTGTTTATAAAAACGTGGTGTTTTTTTTTTCTTTGTAAATAACATTAAAATATTAAAATAATCACACATAATTAATGTGCAAAATTGACTAACACTGATAGCACTTAAAAAAAATTTGAGATTTATATAGATATTGAAAACATCCACAGTCATATTAAACAAAATGTTGCCCAAAATTTATCTGGGAGCTGGATACTCCATAACTCTCATTCATGTTTTTTATGACATGTCTTATGTAGATGGCAAAATCTTGGGTCAATCAATTCACTCGTTTGATCTCACTTGATAATTTTTTTATTCCTTTAGTCATTAAGCCCAGTATTTAAGCCAGAGCAGCCACTTACAGGAGCAGAAATTGCCATGTTTTCCCAGGAAACAAGCATATGTGCTTGCTAATAATGCAATATAAACCTCATATTTTACATCAGCTTTTCTAATCAGCAAGCTTTGCATTGCTGAGTTTCATAGTGACCTCAAAGGAGACTTGAATGTAACAGGACTTTTTATTTTTTTTAAACATTGATTTGGGACTGAAAAAAAAATTATATCAGCAACTGATATCAATACCCTGAGCTATTTACATTATAATGTGATATAAATAGCTTTTAAAACTCCAAAGTCTAAAATTACAATTTATGGATTAGTTTTTTTCCTCTGATGTTTCTTATTGCTGTTTGTAAGGAGTATGTAAATGTGCATGAAATTTAAGGTATGTTAAGTGACTAGATATTTACAACCTTATTATTCTGATTGTTGGATTGTGGAGCTAGCTGAGATAGTATACAGACCTGTTTTAATTTTCTTTTCACATGAAATTATGTAACTTGGTGCCTACACCAGCTTTTTCCTTTGGCATATTATAGTTATGGTGGCAATGAGATACCATCACAAAATGTTGAGTGTCACTACACGTTTTTAATTACATACTTTTCTTATGTTTGGATGGCAATATTTTAAAATGGGGCAAGGGATAGTATGGAAATTATTTTAAACTTTCATATAGACACATACACACAGTAAAGTTATCTAATAATTTTCAAAGGCAATAAAGCAAGTATATGCATAAGATTCTTAAAAACTATGCTAGTTTTCAGGTTCAGATCTCTTTCAGCATTGTAGAGGCAGATCCTCAGCTTCTGGTTGAGCAGGACTTGGCATTGACTAAGAACATTGGAGGAGAAAGAATCGAATCATTGTGGAGAAGATTTCTGTTGACAGGAAGATGCAAAGTAACTCTTCTGCAAGGTAAATTCTAGCCTCTGTATTCAAGAGAAACCTAGTTTTCATCCTGTTGCTAATAATGGGCTATTCCAGCTTCTCAGAACATTATAAAGAAAGACGTATAAGAAGAGGAAGCCAGTATGCATAAACAAGGTGAGGGAGGTTATTAGAAACAAGAAGGTATGCTTTGGGAACTGTTTTGGAAATGCAGAAAACAGATGGGTTCATAAATTCTGTTACATTAATACAATAAGGCAGATCAGAACTGAACTTGAGGAATGACTTGCAAAGGCATTGGGCAAAACCCAAATAAAGCCCAAGTCCTTTTCTGTAAGTATCAGGAGCAAGAGGCTTGCCACATAGTGGGTAGGGCCTGTAGACCATCAAGTTGCACAAGGAACACTCAGAGAAAGCAAGAGCATAGGAGACAAGACTACATTCACGTTGTCGTGATTTGAGCCTGGTTGGCAGCCAAACACCACGCAGCCGCTCTTTCCCCCTTCTGGTAATGAGAAGGGACAGATGAGCCAGGCTTGGGGTTCGAGATAGGACCAGGAGGGGTAGATCACCCATTATGGTCATGAGCAAAAGGCAGACTCATTACGGGAAGAAATAAAAGAACATATATTTATTAAAGACACTAACAACACATAACAGAGTAGGACAGTGAGAAGCATTGCCACATATTGATAACACCTTCCCCTCACCCCTCCCTTCTTCCCGGGCTCAGCTCTGCTCCCGATATCTCTACCTCCTCCCCCCAGTGGCACAGGGGCAGGGAATGGGGGGTGCAGTCAGTGTTGCTGCTTCTTCCATCTTCGGTGGGGGTAGCTTCTGGAACTTCTTCCCCTGCTCCATCGTGGTCCTCTTCTCACAGGAGACAGTCCTCCACAAACTTTCTCTGACATGAGTTCCTCCCACGGGCCTCAGCGTTTCCTTACATTGCTCTGGCGTGGGACACCAACTTTCTCCAACTGGAGTCCCTCCCACAGGCTGCAGCCCTTCCTGAGCTACTCTGGTGTGGGACATCCCCACATGCTGCAATCCTCCCAGCGCTGAATTACAGCAGCGGGGCTACCTTTTCCCATGAGACCCCGGCCTTCTTCGGGCACAGCACCTTGATTATCCAGGGGAAACACAGGCCGTAAATCAGTGTCTGCTCCACTGCAGATCTTCATGGGTGGCAGGGGGGGGGTGCCCTGCCGTCTCACCACAGGATACAGGGGGGTCTCTGCTCCGGCACACCTCCCCCCTCCTTTCTTCCTCCATTCCTCCACTGACCTTGGTGTTCACGCAGCTCCTGCAGCTCCTCACCACATCCCTTCTTAAATACATTATTGCAGAGGCGCAGCTGATTGACTCAGTTTTGGTGCAGAGGTGGAGCGGACTTAGAGCTGGGGGAGCTTCAAGAAGCTTTTCACAGGGGGCCGCCCCTATAGCCCCCTCCCCTGCTACTAAAAAACCCCACCACTCACTCAAACCCAGGGCACACGTTCTTGTATCTGTGTTGACAGTGCAACAGCTTAGAGAAATCCCCTCCAGAACTTTGCGTTATGGGGAATTTAGCAGATCTACCTCAAATGTAAGTGCAGGGCAGGAAAGGTTAGGGAACAGATAAAATAAGCCAGACATCATGGGGACCAGGTGGCCTCCATCCAGGAGTTCTAAGAGAACTCAGGTGTCAAAAAGCTGAAGTACTAACTGCAGTGTGTAACCCTTCCCCTACTAACCAGGCAGGGAAGGCAAACATGAAAACCCAGGCAACTACACACCAGTGAGGCTCTTGTGCTGTCTGCCTCGACCAAATAACTAGTATCTGTCCTACAAAGCAGAATCACTGGACACATATAAATACAACATATTGAGGAGGACAACACAGCTTTTGTTGCATTATAGCAAGTGTTGCAGATCTATAATTCTTTGGTGATGTTAATTCTTTGATGTGGACAAGGGAGATCTCATGTTTAAGTGTTACCAGGATTTTCAGGGGCAGTGAGGTTCCTAGACAAAACTTCATTTGAAAAACAATCAAACAAGCACCTTTATGCAACAAAAAGCAAGAGGATTGGATCAAAAAATGGGTAAATGACAAGAAACAGAAATAAAACTGAAATAAAAGGTCAGTTTTCGTAGAAGAGGGAGATCACAAGAAGAGTCTGCAGGGACCTGTGCTGTGAGTTGTGCTGCTTAATGTATTCATAAATGATCTGGAAAAAGAGGGTGAGCAGTGAAATATCACAGATTGCTAATGATACCAAGCTATTCAGGTAAAGGAAAGTTGGAGGACAAATTGTGATGCTGTTAAAGGGCTGACTGTGAAGAACTGAAGAAAGATCTTACAACACTGAGTGACTGGATAATAAAATGGCAGATAAAATTTGATGTTGTTGAGTAAAGTAGTGCACATGGGAAAAAAAATTCTGTATACAAGTACGGGCTGTAAGCTGGTTTTCTGCTCACAAATGAGATCTTTGGGTTCTGATTAATATTTCTATGAAAATATCAGCATGATGTTCCCTTTTACTCAGAAAAACAAACATTTGGAATTATTAAGAGTGGAACAGAGAACAAAACAGAGAAAACTGTAACGCATCCGCCCCAGTATCAATCCATAGTTCTCTACATATTGAGTAGTAAGTACAGTTCTTTTCTTCACATATCAAAAAGGGCATAATAAAACTGGAAGTGATTCAGAAAAGGTTTGAGAAGGATAACCAAAGAAACAGAATGGTCCGGTATGAGGTACAACTATGGGCTCTTAACTCTGAAAAACAGATGACTGAAGGGAGGTACGACAGAGGTCTATAAAATCACCAGTGTCAAAGAAAAGGTAAAGATGGAGACTCTTGTTACTGTCTTTTTCCAATATGAGTATTAAGAATATTAATGAAACTGGTAGGAAGCATGTTGAAAACAAAAAGATGGGTTCCTACATGATTTTAAGCTGTGGAAATCTTGGCTGAAAGATTTTGCAAGATGCTAAAGGTTTGGGAGATGAAACCAATCAACCAAATTAACAGAAGAAAAGTCTGTTAAATATAAGGGCTGTTAAACAAGAAAAATCACCCATTGTCCACACTGCAGAAGCCTCCAAACCACAGATTACTGGACATTGGGAGTGCTTGGGGACAACATGCTTACCTTATTTGTAAGCTCTTCGTTGGGTATCCTTTGTTGGCAGCTGCTGGAAATCAGCTACCAAGCTAAGTGAGTTTTAAGTTCCCAATATAGTAGTTTTCCATGCAAATAATATAGAGAAGAACAGATCAAGAGGCCATGAGGTTTACTGTTATGACATGACTCAGAGTCATTAAAGGTTAGGAGAAAGACTGGTGACTTCGGGAAGAAAAAATCTTAATCCATATAGCTGGAAAATAGTGTCAAAACCAGTTAGGCAGTGAAGTAGGTCATCCGTGTGTAAATACCTAACACCAGCCCTCTGCAGGGAAGGCATGCTGGTGTCTGAGAGTTCTGCTGGTGATGACTGGGACAGCTGCTAGCTACAAAGGCATATCACGGAGCAGAGGGAGAGAATTAACTTAGAAAGCAAAAAAATAAAGAAAGACCACATGGTGGAAGAAAGGCTACCACTTTGTAGGAGAAGAGGCCACCTCAAAATCCTTCTCCAAAAAGAAAAGAAATATCTCCATGAATTGTCAAAATCTTTTTTTTTTTTTTTTTTTTTTTTTTTAGGTGGCCACTGCCATTGTGAGAAACAGAAAAGACAAGAGTGAAAATGTGAGAGGTAGTAATGCAAGAGGGAGCATAACCATCAGATGAGGAGAAAAAAAACGTAATTTCCTCTCTTGGTGTTTGTATAGTCAGAACTTCTTTCCTTTTGGATGTATGGTAGAACATGGCATAATTCTTCAATGCAGGCTGAATTTAAACCTTTTTATTCATTTGCATAAAGGTAACCTGAAAACAGATTGTATCAAAGATGCTCATCTTACCTCAACCGTTTGCACATTCACCAAATTATAATGCTTGCCACATTGAACTGTATTAGCGAAGGTTGTAGTTGAGTATCCTTTCTAATCTCCTTTTTTCATAATTTGAAAAATCCTTTTGCATTGGAGCTTTGTGTGCTTTGTTTCAACTCAAGAGTGATGGGGAAACTTAAACAAAATCAGTTATTTTTGACTTATATAGCATGAAGGAAAAATACACTTTCTGTTAGTCACCAGTTGAAATGTTGCACAATCATAATGCAAAAGATTAAATTTGGCTTGTGGGACCATTAAGGAAAGGAAAACAATCTATGTCCAAAGAAAATCAAGTAATTATTTTGATGCTGCAAATATTTTAAACTGGAATATCTATATTGATGCAGTAAAACCCACTACTCATTCTGGGTAATATATAGCTAAAATTGTTTCTAGTGCTATATGAATATCAAACTGCTGTAATACTGATTACTCTCATCACAAAGTTACCTTACACCCTTAGTAATGGCCTTGAAGAATTATTTGGTTCTAACTATTCATAACCTAGTCTTCTGGCATTGATGTTTCTGTTGTAAATGCTGTGACATTTTGGAGGTAGTAGGTCCAGCCCCCCGTGTCTCTCCTACACAAGCAGGGGACTGGGAAGGTAACTGTATTTAGAAGGTTAGGCAGCTAGGAAGGTCTCACGGCTCCATCAGTAGTACGTAAACTCTAGAACTTCAGTGTGATTTGTGTACCACAGATATGTCAAATCCGTATCAGACAGCAAGCGCTTGACTAGAAATATGATTAATTTATGAATAGCTTCATTTTATTTAAATAAATGTTTATTCTTACTATAACCATGAAATTAAACATGTAAAAGAAGATATACTTTGGCAGTCATATCAAAACTATAAGGTGCTTCTATCAGCTCTGAAGAAGCAGTGACTTAACACCTTTTGTCTCAAAACTAACTGTGGCAAAGTCACTGACAGAATTTTGCGATACAACTGGAAGCTGTTGCAGAAAACCCTGTTTTTGTAGTTTATGATACTCTTTTGGGAAAAAGAACAACAAATGCTTGGAAAACTTCCCTAATTCAGAAGTAACGTTTAAGCAATTTTCTTTCTCTGTTGTGGAACACATGCGGCGACACTTGTTTGTTGTCTGTAAAAAAATTGTATATTGTTGTCTCTTTGGCCAAGAACTATATGATGTATGATGCTTAGGGCCATCTGGGGTTTGGGTAAAAATTAATGACACAGAGTTGGGATAGTTACCATAATTTATTATACACTGATTTTACTGCCCAAAAAGCAACATGAAAAAGACAACAAAAACTTCTTTCTTCTGAAAAACTGAGCTAGAAATATTTTTTGATGCTGTTTTCAGCCTTTTAAACTTGCATTTGGTTTGCAGTTGCTTATAAATTTCCCAAACTGAAATATTACCCTTTTCAAAATAAACCTAAATTCTCCCTATTCCTTCCCCTTAACAAAAAACAAAAACACAAAAAAAAAAAAAAAAAACAAAACCACCCAAAACCTATAACAACAACAACAACAACAAAAACCAAACCAAAAAACAAACAAACCAGAGAAAAAGAAAAAGAAAAAAATCAGCCTGAAGCAACACCCAGGACAGAAAACTTCTTCCAAGTTGTTAAAGCTTGGCAAACCTATAAACAATGGAAAACAGACAAACAAACAAACAAGGATTATTTGGATGTTTGCCTCAGCCTGAATTTTCTGGACACACACACAAACAAAACCAAACCACCCCAAAACCCAAAAAACAAGACCAGAAAGGTTTCAGCTGTTTCTCAGAATGAAGTTAGGAGGAAATACATTCCTTTAAGTTTCTGTAAAGCCCTGAGACTTTTAACTGCAAACTCAGTCCTCTGGAACCAGGTTTTCATAATCGGTATAGGTGCTGCCCTGGTGTCACAGCGAATTTTTCTGTTCTTTTCAAGTTTACCCCAAATCTCATGAGCACTCAAGGCTCTGACAACCATGCATGCAAGTACAACATGTCCAAGACACCCAATGTATTCCACATGTGTAGAATATGGCTCTGCACCATGCGTACAAGAGAGTCTGGTCTCAGTGACTACATACCATGTATATAAATCGATTATATTCAGTGTCTGGCTTATTGAACGCTGGCTTTGGGCCCTATTTGAAACTGGGACGTGGTTCTTGCTCCCGGGTTTAGCAAGACAATCCTCCTTATTATCCTCCCCAAGCAAAATTATGACTGTCTAAAGAATCTCAGTTGCCCATGCACAGTAGAAACTTTACTAAATTCCCCAGAGTTCCTGCTTCTCCTATTAATACAGCAGTGGGCTAACTGACGTTGGTTGCTCCGGCATGTGGCAGCATCCGAGTTCTGGGCGCCCAAGCCTCCAGCGAGTGTGGAGAATGTCTCATCTGTCTCTTCAGCATTGCTGCTGCTGAGGCCAGAGGAGACAGATATCAAATGCAAGAGGATAAGGAGCAGGGTTTCTGTGGGTGAGGGGATAGGTACAAATGGGGGAAAAAAATCTCTGGGGTATAGGAGATTATAGAGTCAGTACAGACGAGAGTTTCAGCCTCAGCAACAGAAGTGTCTGTAAGACTAGCCTTGGGCCTCAGGCTTCTTTTGATAAATACTGCTCTTGCTGTGCTTTCTTGGGTTAATACTATCAGCCCTTGCTTTACATCTTAGTACATCCTGTGATGTTTTGTAGTATTAGGACTCTGCCTAATTTAATAAAAAGTTAAGAACTTCCCATAGCTTTTTTTTTAGTGTTTGATCAGGGTAGCTTGCTTTTCAATGTATTGGGGAAGCACATGCTCTGTTCACTGATGACTGGCATTAACCTAGCAATTAAGAGTAGTATTTAGAGTAGTTCAGTACCAGGAAGGGAGAGTCAGTAACTGTAATACAGAAGAGCTAAGTAACACACTGTTCTGTACTCTGTTTCGTGTAGGAAAGAAAATTGTACACTCTGTCCATTCCAGATATAAAGCACGTGTGGAAATTTGAGCACTGTTTGTTTATTAGACTCCCATGTATATAACTGGCACTGTGTAATGTATATTTTATTAAATGAATATAGTCTAGTTCTTCAGAAAATGTATTAATTCACACTTCTAGGTGTCAAACATGGGATTTACTTTTGATACTGATACACCTAGAATAAACTTAAAGAGTAGGTATGTTACATTAATTTTTTTATATACTTACACTACAGACACATCTTGACTACAGCAAAGATGAGGTTGTATTAAAAAAAAACAGCTTAAAATTAACTTGTTGGGGATTTTCTCTGAAGTTAGTGGGGTTTTGATATAAGCATTCACAATATAGTTTTTAGGCCCTTTGAATTTTCTCTATGCTTTTCATTTAGCTTTGTTATAATTTTTAACTGGAAGTCTTCAAAATTATGTTCTGCCTGAAATTTGGCTACAGTAGTCCAGTTTCACATATCTGAGGTAGTATCTTTTAAAAACTCCTGTCAATACATATAAAATTCAATTGAGGCTTATTGTGAAAAGACCTGCTATGACATATAGGTTGGAAGGGTGAAAAAAAAATGTGTTTGAAGTAATTTTTCAGCTTTTGTTTTTCATAACTGAGTTTTATATACCAAGAGATAAACTTTATGTGCTGTGAGCATAACTGTTATGTGCTCTGCTTATAAACTCGATGATGTGTGCACTCATAAGCATGATAGTCTGTGCATTCATAAACTTGATGGGCCCTACACATAAAAATATTAGCTATCTGGAGTTATGTTAATTTTATTCTCCAGAAGGGAAAGAATTTATGGGCAATGCACTTAGCAGAGAACAGAGAAGTGGTTTTCTGCAACCACTGGCATAGTGAGCTTCATGCGCAGCTGCTGCTGAATGAAATCTTTCACATCTCTACAGATTTGCCACCTTTACCCAGTCCATTCTACAATTTAAAAAGTGACAGATTTTTTGTGAATGACAGATTTCTTGTGAAACAGTTTAAAATACTATTTATGAAATACCATCAATGCAAATGCACAAAACCTCGCAACAAATGAAACGGCAGCAGAAGTCCTTTTTCTCCTCCACTCACAATCAGGTTTCACAGCACTTATGCAAACAATACACCTCATCTTCAATTATGCAACCAATGCTTGCCAGTATGCCATCATCCCCAATATAAATCACTTTTTTCCATACATTATATAAATGTAACCACATTCCACAATTAGTAATGGTGCAGATAAAGGTGAGCTGAAGGAGGTCTATACTATTTACATGTAACAGAAGTAATGGGATTGCCAGTAATGCTGAATAAAATCAAACATAGTTCAACATGCTTAGCATCTTGAAAGCCAAACCACCACCACCATTTAAGAACCAAATGCAGATTTAGACATTTATATTTAAACTAGATCTAAGACTTTATTCAGAAATGCACTCCAAACATACTGACATTGATAACACTTGACCACAAGTTTAGGCGATCTGCAGTTACAGCTTTGTTGGTGTGTAAACATATCTTAAACAAATCAGTGTGACTGCAGGAGTTTCAGACAGCCGTGCATCTTGTATTGTCACAGATTTACTCAATGCACAAAGCCTGGAGCTGACCTTAATAAAACAACACGTGACAATACACACTCCTGCAGAGGGAAAACCACTAATAAAGAACAGTCCAACAATCTATTCTGTAATGCTTATGGGCCAATTCTTGCCCAGCAAGTGTTGCCAAAACGCAAGCATCTGGCCCAGCTCAGGATTTCCTGAACTGATTTGGAGACGGTTCAAGCCATTTTTGCTAAGTCTTTTCACAAACGTATCTGTGCTGAATAAATGAACAATCAGACTTCCTGACTGCAGCTCGGGAAGGGAAAGGATGCATTACCCCAGACTCCTTTTTTGTGGGGCTGGACCCCTTGCAAGGTTTCCTAAGACCTGAAAGCCATCACTTCTCCAAATTTTTTTTTTTTTTTTGGTTAACTCATCCTGACAGCTCAGCAGGCAGGTAATTTAGAGCCCAAGCACAAGGGACTTCAGGGTGGAAGTCACAGACAATGACACTAGGAGATAGATAGCCTCTTTAAAAAGATCGGGGGTGGAGAACTGTAAGATCCAACAGCGTCAAGCCAGCCTAACTCATTGCAAACCACCTAGTGACCTTCATCCCCCAATACACCTCTAAAGGGAGCTGGGACCTGACTTAACCACAGGAAGAGCTGGCTGGCTGACATACAAGCACCAAATTGTTCATATGACATTATTCCTCACACGCTGGTGTCCACGCATGTGCTTCCCCTCACAGGTGCTTGTGGCATTCTGCTCCCCCCCGCCCCGACTGTTACAGGCAGCCAGGGGAACCTACGGCGGGAATACTTAAGGGATATCCTTAAGGGATATTCCTTAGCAGAAAAACCCTGCCTGGCAGTCGACACGCTATTTTAGTAGCTGCGCTCTGGCAGGACTACCCCTGCGGGACTTGATGCCACAGGCCTGGTTGGCCATGCCGCGGGCATGCAGTCGTTATCATGATGAGGTGGACAGGGGCATTCTCAGCATAAGGTCAGCACCAACTTTGCCCGTCTTGCCAGTTCCCTGGAATAGCTTGCGGAGGTGAAACTGCAGGCCCCTAAAAAGCGTGCCCTACAAAAAAGGAGTGCTGGCTCACATAGCAACTAGCCTACATTAGTGGTGCCACAGAATATGCTCAAGGGCCACAACAGTGTGGATAGCCAGGGAACCAAGTCTGAAATACACATTATAGGAAGGTAATCTACACACAGCTGATCTGATTTACATGCATACTGGAAACAAACAAACTCTTTTTATTCTGGGTTAGTAAGGTTGAGTGGACTGCCTCTTGATTAGAACCTCAGTCCATCTCTTGAAATTGTTTTCCAACTCCCGCTAATGATCAGCCACCTTGTGATTTGACAGACCCATCTTGGGCAGAGATCTCGAACAAAAGAGGTTCAAAGAAGCTCTGTGAAAATTGGTGTCTGGGTCGAGGATTGATGCTGGTTAATTAGTTAACCGTTTCTCACTTTGGGAAAAGCTAAATAGTTAATGGTTCTGTTTGGTCGGCTAACTGGCCAAACTGCACACGTGTAACCCCAAATAAGTCACAGTTCACAGTCCCTTTTGCTCAACAGATAATGCAGGGTCACGTGCTGGAGCTTTAGGGTAGTTCAAAGGGAATCTGGAAACCTGAAATAATATATTAGACTAGGAGGGGATAGAGGATCTGGAAGGAAAATGGGATAGACAACCAATCATTCTTGCTTCTGCTGCTCCAAGTATGATTTCTTAATATGGTGAAATGCCCTAAGTGGCAAGCTTAAAGAAATGTAATTTAAAACTCATCACAGTTTCTTTCTTTTAGCTAGCAGGAGGTTTTATGGTCATGTAGGCACCTAGCAGAACATACTTCCAAGAACTTTCTTTAACAGATTTGTGAAGTCAGGATACTACAGATATCATGTATTGGAACTTCATAGACAATATCCCTCCTGAGGGAGCACAAGAAGCTTTCTCCTGACATCAAGAACA